AGGTTTTGTAAAAATGTGAAAGTTGCTTTGGGCTTAAGTCTATATTTAACATATATAGTTAGGCCTCACCACAGACTGCAGTGCAGAACAGAACTATGTATTTCTCTTTGCTGGTTCTCAGGAAACAGGATATGCAGAATTGTTGTTGTTGTAAACCTGTCACGTTGTGTGACATATTTCCCAAGATGTGAGCATTTTTTTCTCTTAGCATTTTTTTTTTGTTTTTGAGACGCAGAGGTTGCAGTATACTTTCTGTAGTAGTTGTAGTCATACCGTTAAGCATGACATGTGGTTTAGAAGTGGAAGGGTATGTGTGTGTGTAAGGGGAGACACACTGTAGTAGGTTTAGATAACCATCTGCAAAAAAACAACTTAGCTCACCGTAACCATTTGCTTTTGCTACTGCTTACTGCTGATACGCCCCTGTACTACGGCTGGAGTTGTAACAAGTAGAGTGTCCTGAAAGTGCCCATCTGGGTGCAGCCTCAGTTTGTTAAGCAGGTACCGCTCCGAGTTCCCACCAGCCGTGAGTAGGCGGACAGTAAGCTCTGCTCTTCGAATGTGTCTGCGGGTTCACTTATTATAGCAGTTCTATGGTGAGATGAACAAAAAATAATAAGTCTTGCTGTGTTTCACTACCAGTACAACTCTGCTGATAAGTAGCAGTATTGCAATGCTATTTGTCTGTTAGCACACACCCATGCAAGTGCTTCTCTACCCGTACTCTCTAAAGTGCTGCCAGCAGTCCGCTATGCCTTCTTCCAGATTCCTCTGGAATGTTTTAGTAACTCGTGAAATAGTTCATTAGAGATCTAAAAAGCTTGTCCAGACTTTAATTAAATTTCAGAATTTTTCTACTTGTGAAATAAATCAATTATTCCAATTTTGTGGTAGGAAAATCAGGCAAGCCTTCAAAGCTTACAAAACGCTTCATAGATTGTGGCACGAGTTGAATAAAGAGGCAAATAAGAGAGTCCTAGTATAAAGCTTATTTTCTAGCCGGCAAACATATACTGTCTTTTATATGACCTATCTTTTTCCTAAATTGAAAATTAATTTAAAATTTAAGTACACTGGTAAAGGAAACTGAAAAATGTTGCTTTGTGATTGAAAGAACTATACGCAAGTCTTTGAGTAACTTTGAATTTCTCTCGTCATTCTAGACCTTTGGCTGAGCTCCATGTACAACAGCCTTGGATTGGCTCTTGGGACATCTGTTAATCTATATATAGGATTCACACACTTGCACACGTAAACAGGTGATCTCCTAAATATATGAAATGGCGTTTGGAACTCCCAAGTGCTTATTTAAGCCAAAGTGAATTCAGGAGTGAACTGAACTTCTTGCCCTCCTCCCTGTCCCTGTAATAGGCTGTATTGGGGAAAAAGTGCATTATGTGCTGGTAATAACTTGCACTTGATATCTACACATATAAGTTCATAAATCCCAAGAATTACTTAGTGCCAATTAAAAATATCCTGAAACTGACCTTTTCCTATCCCCCCATTTAGTCCTCTTGACAGTTGGTAATTTCTTGCCATGGAAGGGACATAGTGATTGAAAATAAAAGATACATTTAATGAGTAGAGAACAGGGGTAATAGATGGTAGCTGATATATATAAATAAGTTATATTTAGGAAATTAATAAGGGAAGCTGAAGTCAGGAGGAGAATTTTAAGCCATTTGATGAAATCTCTGGCTGTGTTGCTGAGTCTGATTGCTAATAGATCTGGGAATAGCAGGGAGACCTCAGAAGAGTGAAAGAGAAAAGTGACATTTTGCATCACTAGTGAAAAAGTGAGTGAGGTGAAGAGGAGCTAATCTGATATCAGGTCGAGGAAGAAACTATGGAAAATTTGATAAAGAATTTAGATGGTGTAAGAACAGAAGCATAACCCTGCTGTTCAGCTTTTCAATTTTTGAAGAATAGGTCTGCTCAAATGCAATTTTTTTGTTTTGATACTAGAAATTGGGTTGCTGGAGGTGTTGTCTGGTAAAACAAACTTTTATAAGGTCTTTAACTTGCTAGTGCACTATATTTGACTTAAAAAATACCTCTGAATTCAATGGTGTACTAAAACAGATTAAGAACTGACTGTAATCAAAGAAAGTGAAATGTTTCTCGTGGGGATCAGCCCAGTGGGTTTGGAAACAGATGTAGGATGATTGCTAGTAAAAAGTTATGGGTGGAACAAAGATTAGTGGAGGCAGAGATAATTGTAATGACAGTAAAAAATTGTTTAGATCGTTTAGGCAAGCTGAGACCAATTGTGCAAAATGTGTGTGAATGCAGCTGAGCGCAGAGTTGCACACCAAAGGAGCAAGAAACGCAGGTCATACCTGCATGGCGGAGTTTTTCTCTGAAAATCAGTGACCCTGGAAGGACAAAAGTAAATAGCCCTAGCGAGGTAAATAGTAGGTATAGCAGGAAATAATTGGAAAGGTAAGTAGTCCTAGCAAGTAAACATGGCAGTGCTGTGGCAAAAAGGGCTAATAAATACATTGCTAGATGCGTAAGTGGGCAGAAATGAGTAATAGCGAGAGTATTTGCATGTAAAATTGGGGAGACTGATGCTATAGGTCTGGGCCTAGTTTGTCTACTTTTAGTGAGACTTGCTAATTTAGGGCATGGAAACAAGCCCCCCAAATGACTCAAGAGTGGAAAAATGCTACATAGCGAGAGATTTAATGTGCAGTTAGCTGATACAGCTGAAATTACTTAGTGGCATGCTGCTGCTGGAAGGGAGAATTCTCACCCCCACCTTATGTTGGCTGTGGCAAAAACCTGACTACACAGTAGTCCTGTTCAACTCACTCACCTGACAGAAAGCTTTTCACTTTTTAGGTTGACTGTGTCTTCTGTCAAGTTACTGAGTCCAGTCACCAGTCAGATGAACATGAGAACTGATGTGGGGAGGGAGGGAGGGAGGGATTGACTCTGTGTAGCAGCAAAGCTGTTAGATCAACTCAGTGTACTTCTAACTAGGCTCCTAAGGTGTGTTTCCATGGCGATTGAAGTTGATTCAGATGATCTGCAATGGTCCCATCCGTTCTGTTGGCATCAGTGCTCGTGTAGTTGTGCCATCACCTGGTTCAGGTTTTGACCCACCTCAAAACTAATCCAACAAATAAAGAGCTCTGTGAACAGGCCAACTGTGGGATCATATTAACGCTCATGCCAGCACAAAAGTGAGAGTGAGATTGCACAGCTGGTGGGAGGAAGAGTCTGGGACTGCCACTTCTGTTTGCAGTTTCACAGCCAAATGAAGGGCCTGTTCCTTCCCCTGTGCATTCCCTCCTCCTATCTCTGGCGCTTGTCTAATCCTGCACAGAATTAGTGTAGCGCTCTAACTGCCCCTTTCCCTCCCCCTTACTAAAGTAAGTCATTTCCTCCCTAGGATGCATAGGTTAAGAAATCCTAGTTTAGCCTGTGAAAAGGAAGAGAGGTAACCTGATTGCACACTGTATGTAGAAGTACCTCCACAGGTAGGAACTCTGTCCTGACTGTCGTAAACCTTTATTAGAAAAATATATCAAGAACCAAGAGAAGTTGAAGCTAGACAAATCCAAGTGAAAATTCGAGTGTGCGTTTAAGTGAAAGTGATTAGCCACGGTGCAAATAACCAAGGAAGACACGGGTTTTTCATCTCTCGTTAACATCATGTGAAGACTAGATGCGTTACTGGAAGAGGTATCTTAGTCAAATGCAAACTGCGAGTAGGAGATCTGAAGAAATAGGTAAACCATGATGATGTATTTAAGTAGATCAAGTGGTATCTTTTCCTTCAGTATTTTGATCCCTGCTTTAGGGAAAGTACAGTATAAATTTGGATATAATGTATGAAAGGAATTTATTGGACAGAAAAAGCACTTGAGAAAGGAAGTATGAGGGTTATAATAGGATCGTATAGTTAGACTGTAGTTTTGCACTCTCGTGGTTCTGTTACATTTGTGCGGACTTCTGTTCCGTGAACTATACAACAGACATCAGCTTGACAGAGGAACTAAAATTAAAACAGGGAAAAGACCATGCCATTAATTTTATAATATTTTGTGTTCAGTACCCAACACAATTTTTGATTATAACAGGATTCAGTATCTATTGATGTTCACTTAGGTTGACCTAAATTGATAAGTATTTGTGTGTGCATGTATGATTTTTTTTTTCCTTCAGTTTTAAAAGGTTCCTTTCGTATGGAAGCTTTCCTGGATTGTTCCTAAGAACAATCTCCAGAATACTATTTTGATTATACAGTTTAAATGAAAACTGACATTGTAACCTAAATGTTGAAATTAAGAGTATACCGCAGATTTGTATTAGAAACAATTAAATAATTGCATTTCATAAAAATAATTCCTATGTGCCATTTCACTAAAATAAATAGGAAAAATTACTGTGATAAGGATTCCTTCTGCTATGGAACAAGGACAGTTCTAGATATATCCACGATATTTCACACTCATGAGTTGTTTCAGAAGGTAAAAGAATTTCTGAATTGAGAAAGCATATCAGTCTTGTAGTTTAGAGAAATCTTAATGACCAGTAATTTTGTCATAACACTTTCATCTGCACATGGCCGTTAGAGTTTTTGGAGTCACCTGCAGATGAGTTTGGGTGTCACACTGTTTTTACTGGAGTTCAGTCAGCCTGTATTTTTCTCTGTTTGTTTTTTAATATCAATGGTTTGGAAAGAACATAGTGCTCTAGAAAGAATTGAGAAACAGGCCTGGCTTTGCGGATTTTTATCACCCTGCCAAGACCCTTTGCAACTTCCTCTCCTTGTTGCCCGCAGCAGAATACGGAAACCTTACTGCTTGAGGCCACTTCTGCAATTGCAGTAGTGCAGAGGAGTATGGTGGGAGAAGGGTCTTTTTGTTCTGCTGCTCACTAATGGCTTGGCATCCAAAGAAGAAAACAAGATGCATTTGAAAATGTGTCATTCGTTGCTTCTCACACTGATGGGTTTCCTTCTCTTCCCTCTCTCTGCTGTCGTGCAGTGCTGCAGTTGAAGCTCCAGCAGCGACGCACACGGGAGGAGCTGGTGAGCCAAGGGATCATGCCGCGTGAGTACCACTTAAAACTCTTTCTCTTAGTGTTTTTATGCCTACTTTTGAGTGGAGACTGGTTTCACATATGGTTTAAAACATCTGATTCTCCCATTTCCGGATGAAAAATATCATATCTTAAGAGCCCCACCCTATTTCACTCAACTTTCTCCTTAAGTGTCGGTACTCTAGGTATGGGGCCTCCTCTGATACTGAGGAACAGTGTAATGGCTGCAAGCCTAGCTGCACTCCAAAACAGTCGTCGTATTTGATCCCAGTGGAGAACAGTCTTCTGGAGAACGTGCTATGTTAGAAGTATATGCTTGACACATGCTGGTAATCGCTCTTTTAACAGGCTTCCTGCCTCTGCAGTTTCTGTTCTTGTTTGTCAGCTCCCCAGACCTCTGAGGCAGTTGTAACTTTGTATGTATATATTCTACAGACCTGGTCAAATCTGGCAGTGCGTACAGGTTGTTGGCCAGCAAGGGCCGTGCTTTATGTTTGCAGCTTGAAACATAGCTAGGAAGAGCCCTGTGGGCATCAAGCAGTCCCCTTGCTGCAAGGGGAGGCGAAAACTGCAGAGCTGAAAAGCTTTAATGGACTTGTCTGGGTGAACGCATAGGATGTACCCTAATGACAAGTTTTAATATGTTAACGGCCAGACTAGCGCTCAAGATTTTTTTTTGTTTCTCCTAGCCCCTGTGAAAAGATCTGCAACAAATAGCTTTGCCATGCTTTGGTACCTCTGAACCAGATGACATAGAGGTAACAAATCAAGGCAAGACCAAAGAACAAGTGTTTTATTTTTCAATTCAATTCCGTTTCCCTTGACAGCTTTAGCAGAAGGCAGTGGGCCAGCTAAATGTTTTCTTTTTGGAAAAACTTTCCCCCTCCCCCAACTCACACACCTCATTAGAAGACAAGGTAAAGATGAGGCTTTTCTCACTCCTTCGATTTCTGGGGTGCGCATTATAATATGGCACAGTGATGTGACTTAGACTTTGCTAAAGTCATATGGTTAGGCTGTCAGCTCTCACTCTGAATGAAGAGAACCTGTCAGCACCACTCTGCAAGCTGAAGTGGCTCACTGGAAGGTAGTGACATGCTCAAGATGTTTCTCGGACCCCCTACTTTAAATTCTATTACCCAATGAAAAAGGAAAGATTGGCCTGACCAGAAGTAGTAAATGATGCCTCTCTTGCTGTTTTTACCTGGAGAACTCATACAGGTGCTGCTACAGAATACAGTTACTTGCTTTTAGATGAAAGTATCATGTCCCAGTGGATGGGTGCTTTTGCTAATGGTTCCCAGGAGAAAATGTTCCTGACTTCTTGGTGGTCTCCTTCTTTAGGGGGATATGCATACGAATACTATATTAGATTATTTTCAGTACTGGCTTTCTTCAAAGTGTGGCTGGCCAAACTTGTGACTCCTGAGAGAGGTCTGTTTTACAGGCCCTTTGAAAATGAGGTCCTTTCAAGTAATTCAAGAAAGGCACCCAGAGTAATTAGTCAATCTTACAATTGCTAAAAATATAGCCTAAATAAATAGTCTTTGCAGACTAGTGCCATTCCTTGCTTCGTTTGTCTCTCTTATGTGTGAGTTTTACAACAGACTAAAGAAGACTGCTCAGTGAAATGTCCGTGTAAAAATATTGGCAGCACATGAAAGGTCCTTACTGTAACAGAGAGGAGGAACATCCTGGTAGATCTGTTCTAAACATGATTTAAAGCTAGTTCCCTTCAAGTCATGGTATCATTTACCAATACCTGCCAATTGGAAATAACCACACGTAGAGATATGTTTAAAACATTATTTGGCTGGGTCATTTTTAACGAGAAGATCAGCTGTGTGATAAGTTGTGCTACTTCAAGCAAAAGTCCCATTTTTAACCTGAAAAGTACAGAGGATGACTAAGGGCCGTGTTCCTCTTGAAGGCTTCTCAAAACCATGACAGCTTTACTTCTACTTTCAGCACTTCAGAACAGATATTTTTACTTGCCAGTGGGAATGTCCAGGTTTCTCTATATTCTTTCATATCTCTTCCTTGTACATCCTGTCTGTGAAAGCATTTTGTTACTTAATCTTGCTCCTCTGCCTTCTGCTACTTAAGATGGCTATACTGGACCCCATTTTTCCCTCCTGAGTTCTTTAGTCAGGAAACAGATAAGCCCCATGTCATTCTTTTACAAGACTTTAAATCAGAGAACTCAGAGGATGATTAAGTGCTGAATTGAATGAGCTGGTGTTCTCTCTCCTTGTGAAATGCTGTTTGGCTTCTAGCCTTTATGTTCCTTCTGAAGAGCCTTGGCACTCCTAAAAAAAAATGGTAGTAGTTGAGTTTGCATGTACATTAGCATTGTAACTTGGGTCAGGAATTCTGCTTTTGAAATGAATCTCCTGATTACCCCTGCCTGCTGATCTTAGAGTGCAAGGGTTGGAGTAAATTGGGATGAAACTAAACGGAAAAATATTAGCCTTTGGCTAGTAAATGTTCAGTCTGTGGGACCAGACTTAAGCTGATCTGAGATAACGCCTCTCCGTAAATATGGGGAGTGTGAATGTCAGTTCCTCAGCATCAACTGTATGTCTCTGCAAATTTGCTGCTATTATGCTATGCTACTTGTTCATTTAGATTTAGCCTTTAATACACTTCCGTGCTGTGATCTTGTAGCTGAACAGTCCTGCAAAAAGGTATGAACCATGTATGGAGGGAGTAAAAGTTTTTTCTTTACAACGTGCAAACTCACTTTGACACCTTTGGTTCCCTCAACTGCAACATTTAAGTCTTAGGTGATGTTTAGATTCAGCTTGGTGCCCTAAACAGAGAGTTGTATTTCAGGCTTCCATTACCAACAGTTTTCTGGACACTGTAAAACTGAGAAGTGCGAGAGGACATGTTAGTAAAGGGGTTGATGCTCATATTTAAGTGATAGTGAGAATCATATTGCTTCTGCTTTGTTTGTTCAGAACAGAGCTGGGAATTGATTATTTTGTTCCCATGTGGAATTTTGTTTACATTGTGGAGAGGAAAGGCAAATGTTTCAGCATTTTTTACCAAGAACACTTAATCTCACTTGAATACCCTTTCCAGCCTGTCAACCACCTACAGTAGGTCTGTGCTTCACTATAAAGTTAGCATACTGTAGTAAGAACCAAAGCGTTTTTAAGCAGTGATAGAGGATTCAAATAGCTGGCTTGCATGCTTCGTTAATTCTTCTTGCTCTTCTGTTTGCGCACTGCTTAACCTTTTACCAGAGTAGGACTTCTTAGTTGAAGATTAAAATCCTCAGTTGCCCATAGAAAAGAGGTGATGAGCAAGCGATTCTTCAACTGCATCTGACATACCTATGTTTTGACCTAGGTGGTCTGCTTTTAGAAACAAGAATTTATTCATATTTATTCAGGTTTTGGGCTATTTGCATTTTTTTTTTTTTTTTTTTTTACTGTGTAGAAGTGATTTTCATCTTCCCCTCCTCATATGCTAGCTAAATAATAGAATATAAATATGAGAAATACTAGCTAAATAAAAATGACTGTCTGTTTGACTCTTTGAACTCTGGCATGCTGTAAAAGAACAGTCAGATGCCAGTTTTCACAGTGTCAAATTTAAAGATTAGAGCTATTGTTAGGGGTTTTTTTCTTGTGACTATTAAACACCCAGTTTTTCCGCCCTTGAAAGGAATGCTTAACACAGTAGCTAATACGCATCTCAGTAGAAAGACATGTGGAAAATATCTTCAACTGAAATGGCAGGAATTTTTAGGGGAAAGACATTTAGCCAATGTAGCAATATTCTGGTTAGCAAAATATGTTGTGCTTTTTCTGTTTTGCATGGTTTAGAGCTTCACGTGTCCGTTGTTTTATCAATCTGGATTGTGATCCTTGGCTACTAGTTGCAGACGTGAAATATAGCCAAGCAGGCAAGGTTGTCTCTTGGCACAGTCCTGCAGGAAAGCTGTTGTTCAGGATGTGACCCAAAGATCCACCCAAGTGCAGCTGAAGGAGCCAATCCTGCCTGGGAGCGTGCTTTGTGTTGCTCGAGAGCGCTGCTTCGTGAATATCTGAAAGGGGACACAGGTAGCCTTGGACAAGGGCGTTACCTGAGTTGAAGGCTGAAAGGAGGCTGGCTGCAGTACAGGGACAGAATTTCTAGGAGCTTCCTTTTCACCTCAGCGTATATTTGATGTTTGCCAGCTTCTGCGCCCAGATCCAGCTACTCTGGCAGTGTGTTTGGGTTTTTTAGGATGCCGTATATGCAGAATATACGTAGGAGGCAGACATTTACCCCCTCCCCCCCTCAAAAAAAAAAAAAAAAAAAGTGCCATCCTCTCCAGCATACAGTAGTGAGCCCATGTTCTTGTACGCTTTCCAACTTCTGCTGGCAGTTTAGTCTTTTTATCCCACAAACCCTCTTAACTAGGCCTTGCTCTCTGTGCAGGAGTTCATCTGACAGTACTCCTCCCTCTGTCGTTAGGGCCAATACCAATTTCTAATGTTTTCAGTGTTGCTTGTCATGGCAACTACCACTGCCTAGTGCAAATCACTTAAAATGACTGAAAACAGATCCTCCCCTCATGCTGAGTGGTTAGAATATAGTGGTTAGTATAGACTCTCAAAAGGAGGGACTTTGTGATGTTTCTGTAATTTGACGGGTTTTAGAGGCGGCTGCGCTGAGGTGTTTTTGTGCTGTAGGTTTGAATTGCCAACACTCCAATGCAGTTTTGCACTCCTTGGACGTGCAATCTCCTAGTAGCTTTAGTGTATTTTGGAATATGAGATTTCTGAATCTTGGGATACGGGGTTTCAGATACGCCTGAGGAGAGAATGCTTCATCTCTGGACTACGCCGGGGGAACGTGCCATAGTTCAATTGTGGCATGTCACGTGATTAGGAGTGGGTGCAATTCAATAGCCAGTATGACAACTACAGTCTCATTAGGCCTCTGTTGTCATTAGCTACCTTTTTTCTAGCCTTAAGGTTAGTGGAGAAAAGTTGGTATTTGTCATGAAATTAAA